GATTGACATCGAACGGCTTGCTTGTTTGCTGGCTGGCTTGCATCTCCCTCCAACCCCGCCGCCCTCACGGTTTCATGCAGACAATGCCGCCCCGAGCGTCCCTGACCGGCTCCTTCTCTGTCACTGACGCCAATAATGAGGTCGTCTGTCCATTGAAGAATAATGATGGCTCCAATTGCCGCAAAAGATGCCTGGGTGTGAGTTCTCCTTGGTGGTTTCTTCGATTACCGTGCTCCTTCCCCCGCCCGTCCAGCTATCAGTTTGGAGCCCCACTTTCAGTGGCTATCCAGCTCCTTCAACAACGATTCGAGACAGGATATTTAGTCAAAAAACAACGTCTGCAGGATTAATATCTGACAGTATGTGTATAGGAAAAACGGTATCGCTCCATGCAGGAGCATATTCGACGAGCCCATCCCAACCACTACATTCCGAAGCTCCCGGCTACCGAAGAAAGCTTTCTCTTGATGGTCACCACGCCTCCGGATCAGCGTGCTCATATATCCCCTCCGAACCAAGCTCCATCTCGAAGACATAATGGTGGGTTCATTCAGTTGTTTGACCAGCTAGATTCAAGGAGCGCCAGCTCTGACCCTGAGCCACAGCAGACCGAGATATTTACGTTGCGGATGCCAGCTCGCCCGCAACCCCCCGTGGCATCGATGAAGCTCATCCTGCAGCTGCAACAGCCGCTGTCGCATTGGCTCAATTGCACCATCACCGTTTAGCGTCGGACTGGGATACTGATATGGTATGGATAGCACATCGAGACAGAATGATTTTGGCTGACAAGTCACAGGAGGTTCACTCAGATAACGACATTGGTCGAGACCGCATGCGATCATCAATCGAACTGCCATCCCTGCGTGACCACTTCAAGCAAGAATCGCTACCTCCATTTTCGTCGCCCCGTCCACGAGAACTGCTTCCTTCTATTCTCAACCACTCTCCCCCCGGTCGCTCATCGACACTACCTCCTATCCAGCGACGAGACAAGCTACCCCGTCCACGCAAGTCTTCTATCTCTCGCAAGCTAAAGCATGACCGGACAAGGTCGAAAGAATATGGACGACGTCCTAGCCTAGGGGATCGCAAGGCACTTTCGGCTGAGCCTCAAACGGCGGCTTGGGCGCAAGGCAAGCGGTGGGAGGACCTGATTGAAGCGGCCACCTCGGCCACTGAAGCAGATGATGAGCAAAACTCGGATGTGAGTCATGCGCTTTTTGGCTGTTCTTCACAGACGTTAGTTCATGGCTGACTGGATTAGATCGGTCGTTCGCCGACCATTCCCCCTCTGATTTCTAACATAACGTCGGCTCCCGCTCAGAATCGTTCGTCGTTACCACCTGCTTTTCAGTCTGGAAGTCTGCCTCCACCTGCATCGCATCGCCCATTCCCGCCTCACTCTTACGCGGCTTCGCCTTTACACAAATCCCTCACACCGCCGCCTTTTGAGACTCGCAGCCGGGATGGTGATCTCGAGCCTTTCCCTTCTATTGAATCCTCTATCGATTCGGCGTCCACAACATCGGGTAAAAATTTCAGTTTCGGAAGAAACATGGGCACCTCTGCGAACTCAGACTCCAGCCCAGTTCTGAATTTATTCCCACCTTCTGCGTCGCAGCGCCAGCACCACCGGTTCTCGAACCCAACCCCCGCGTCATTCCGAAACAAGGAAATTCAGATATACTGCGCGAGCTGCAAGCGGCCGTGGCCCCTGAACGAATGTTATGCGTGCACCGAGTGCATCTGCGGCGTATGCCGGGAGTGTGTGGGAATGTTCGTTAGCAGTCCTCCCGTCTCGTTCAAGAACGTGACCTCCAGTCCCGGCAGCGCAGTGACTAGCAACAGCGCCGGGTACGGCCCTACCAGCTACCCGAGTCCGCGTGGATGTCCACGGTGTCGGACCGTCGGGGGCAAATGGAAAGCATTCCAAATCGAAATCAGATGAAGAAAAGGCTCGCTCCCGTTTGACTGTAAGCATCAGTCAGGACGATTACACTCATTTGGCCGCAATCTTTACTCTGTCTAATGGATAACGATTAATGTTTTGGGATCATGATCATTGAAATCCCGCGCGACATGACTGAAATGTGCAGACACAGGGCGTTATCAACTGTAAATGGGTTCATGGTTTCAATGCCTTGGCTATACATGACATTTGGCAAGGTATGACCTGCCAACGAGATACTCCCATCAATCAAACCGCTACTCTGTGGTATGTACTGGCAACATAGGGTTGATGAGACTCGATATTTATGAATGTTGAAAACGTGGATGAATTAAAAAGCTGGGCTTTTGTCATTTATTTTATGATTATGTTGGACGGATATATGACGGGGGCATTTTGGATTTTCTCTTTTTCTGGATTAAGATACACTGGTTATACTGGTTTGGATGGGTTTGGTTCATTGCATCTTATTAGTCTTTTGGCAGCAATGCATGAAGATTTCCATTGGCGTGCGCCTATGCTGTCGCTTCATATTGTGAATCCAGCAAGGTATTGAGATACTGCAAATTTCGAATTACTCTGCCCAGATGACGCTGCTCAGGCCTGTTGAAGTCCCAGGCTTTCCGGGCTCTCCAACCTGGATGTTAGCGACCAGGTCACCCAGCTTTCCACTCGCCGTATCCCGGGAGACAATGGCAACGTTGGAAGAGGACTGGTCCCCGATAGCGACCAGGGTGCCGGCCTTGTTGATGACAAAGGTACGGGGAACCAGGCCATAGGAAGAGGTGAGTTCCTGAAAAGTCACGGTGCCGTTCTGAGAGCGGTTGAGGGTGGCCAATGAGTCATTGCCGGAGAAGGCATGGTCGCTGCGGATCGAGGCATACAAGTTTGATCCGGCTTGCTGCAGCTCGGCCACCGATGCGCCCTCGGTGATTTCCCCGCCTGGGTATGGCACGAAGTTCTGAGACTCGCGGAAGCCGAGACAGCCCGAGGGGAGGTACGAGACGGCGAAAGCGTGAAAGTGGCGGCTCAATTCACTGACCGTGTACAGCATTGTCTGTGGCGCGGTTTTGGCGGCATTTTTCTGGATGCGCAGACCATCGCGATGCGAGTGGTGAGAAGACCAGAAAAGGCCATGCCGCGGTCCACTGCCGGGGGTGTAGTTGAGGCTGGGGCAGGTGTTTAGTCGGCCCGATTGCTTGTCAATTGCGTATACGCGAACCTGATCAGTGCCTAGGTCAGGGACGAGGATGAACGAGCCTGTAGGGTCGAGGATGATCTGGTGGGGATGGGAGGAGTCCTGCTGGGGAAGGGGGCCAGGTGGTGTCTGGTAGCGCAGGATCTGCAGTGGTTCGTCCCCAGATTCGAGGGGGAGGGCAAAGGTCGATACCGCCGAACCGGAGCTTCTCTGCTGTCAGATTTGTCACGCATTATTGTGGGAATTTGCGACTTACTAATGCGCAATGGCGATGTACTTTGCGCCGCCGTCTCCTTCGTACACGACGCTGTGGACGCCACCGCCAACGTCAACCACCTTTGCGAGCTGCGTGAGCGATCCATCTTTGCCGACGGCGTAAGAGGTCAGAGTACCATTTGTGGTCGCGTCGCCTGTCTCGTCGGAGCAGTAGAGTGTGCGTCCTGTGCAGTAGAGAGTGCTCGTGCTCGTGTCGCAGTCCAGGGTCAACCAACTCGGCATGCCGCCGCAGGTGGTCATGTCCGACGCGAGAGACAGATCGTACTTGCCATTGCGATGGGTGAGGGAGAGGGTGTAAACAGAGCCACTGTAGTGGGTGGCATACAGGGTCGCGGCGGAAGCCAGCGACGCGAACAGGGGGATATAACCTAGCATTTTGTCCAGTGGAGTGTGAAGATCGAAAGTTGTCAATTCACGGGGTAGTCATGAATTATATACTCGGGACCCGGGAGAATCCCGGGTGTAAATGAAGGCGCGATTGCGAAGGTAACATTGTTGTTGTCTTCATGCAGGATAGCGGAGCTAGCTGGTGGGGAGCGGTAGGGTGGCATGGATCTGCATGTTTCTTCATGTTTTGGACTATGACTATGTAGTATGTGGGATGCCAAGAACGTGGGATACAACGTATTTGGATTGAGTTTTATCGAATCATCACATCCTACTGGTGCTCAGCGCGGTAGATGTCTCATGTTGATGATGTACAGCGATTAAGATGTCTCACCATACGCAAGGTACTCTCCCGTGCCAGAAATGGTCATCCTTATGGGGCACGGAGAATCTTCCATACTCTTGAACAACAAATAGCGTTCCTATTCAGGTAAAGTGTGTAGCCTTTGAGGCTTGGCATCGCTCACGATCTACTATGATAGACTAGCCTATATATATAGATTCAGTTTCTGGCTGTTGCTGTTGCTCGAGTTCGGTTATCTTCAGTTGCTGCTTTTTACAATGCCTTTGATTCTAATGAAATCAGCGGAGATGCTTGTGTGGGCCAGATCAAATTCTTGGATTCACCTTTTCGGGCCAACCGCAAAGTCTCGATGGAATCGGGTTAGGACTTAGGAGAGATGAAAGTAATTTCAGAGCTGCAAAACTCCTTTTGGCGAGATTGATGAGTACAATGCACAGTATGGCGTGCATGCATATCAGCTGATGATTTGTAGGTTCTTCGTATTCTGCATGAGAAATATCCTCGGGACGACTTGTCCCAGTATGGTTGAAGGGACTCTAGGTTAGGAAGGAGGAGGAGGATAAATTGTAGATGCAGGACAGGAAGCTATTTGGAGTGGTTGCCAAAGAAGACGCTCGAAGAACTAACTGTTTGAATGACGTGAATTAGATGTCCAAACCCTTTATCTGCTTCCCTCCATCTTATGGAACGTCTCTTCTCCCTCACACTTCCTGATTCCCTACTTGCGCTTCTGTTAGAGCCTCATTTCATACCTTTACTCCCTCTTTTTACTTCCTTTTTTCTTGATTCTCTTGAGTGCTATCGATGTCAATAAGCTTCTAAGCCAATGCTAAGGCTCTTCTCATCGTTTGCCTATCATTTCACCCTGCTGCAAACATTTGACTATGATGACCTCAAAGCCACCTGCCGCGTTTCAGGCACACCAGGCCAGAAAGCGCCTGGATCAGTTTTTCGCCGACTTAGACACGTCAATTAACCATGCGATCAAATTCAACCCATATCAAAAGACATCTGTCATTGCCTTTCATTGGGAAAAAGTTCTCAACTAACGGATAACAGCGGTCGATATGATCCGATCACTGGAAACCTTGTAGGTCCTCAGGTTAGCTGGTGGCACATTCGCGAATATTTGGAACACTACACGGGCGACAATTGTTACATTTTTGACTGCTGCTCCGCTGGATCCGGGGCTCTACGCGCCTACGACGGTGCAGAGTTCATGGCAGCCTTAGTCTGGGATGCAGCATCGACGTCGAATGTCCATTTCTCCTTCACGCAGATTCTCATCGATGAGCTTCGTCAGCTAAAGGGTCAGGCCGAGACGCTAGCTTGTATCTATGCTCGAATTCTCCGCAATGTGCAGCAGAATCAGATCGGAGCTTCACCAATCCATATCCCTAAACTGGATTCACCAAGCGTGACCATCTACCGCAACCACTCGAGGCCGGTCACAAGAAGTAGCGAGCGAGACACTTACCAGGTGCTGCTAAGCGTCAAAGTCCGGGACGAGTTTCCCCCAGAGTCCACTCAATGGAAAGAGTGGATGACTCGGAATGTTCTTGACAACGTCCTATCCGCCAGGTTCACAATCGAAGGAGCTTTTCGAGGTTCTAGTCTCCTTCTCTTCACCGTTCCCGTCGAGGTCTGGACAATGATGCCGGCTAATGACCCATCCTACACGTTTATTGGGCACGTTAAGTCTCATAATATCTTATCCAACCATTGACTCAGACCACCACGCTACCAATGCGCTTCCCCCCTCTATCTGGAGGAGAAGATGAGCCACCGTGAGACCCCGACAGAAAGTCTCTCGGTAGTCCTAGGCGTGCGCCTCGTTAGCTCACAGTATGACCATGTCAGCAGTTGTCCACGGGTGTCGCGGTTATGAGGACTTGTTATGGCCCTTTTTTTCTGAGACCATGACGGACCTTTTTCTCTTTTTTTCCTCCTTTGCTTAACATGCCAATTCAATAGGGGGGCTGTTCAGTACCCCCTGATAATGTATTATGATTGCTATTGCAATCCAAAGAGTTTTTTAAACATGTTTCTGCGCTGTAATCTAGATGCTCTACTTCTTCTTTGCAGCAACCTTGCTCTTCGCCTCAAGCTGCCATTTCACCTCCTTGTGCTTGTGAATCACCCTAGGCCTTAAGGCGCTGGAAATGGCATTAGGCCCCAGTTTGTCTCTATGGTAGGATAGAAGGCTACTGCAAACGATGTAAAGCCAGTGGGTTGGTTTGTAGCAGCAGGAAAGGAATGCTATCAGTCATGAAACATCCATCCACTCTGGCCTGCAGTGCCTAGATCTAAGAACAAGCTATTAGATGAAGGCATTCATCCCTATTGTTTGGTAAGCTATGAATAGCTCGAACTCATTGAAATGAAGACTTATATCTTCTTACTTGATTATCTAACTAACTGAGCTAGGTCTGGAAGCTTTTCTGTGTAAAATGAAGTAGCATTGAATATATGCAACCTATATGTAACCTTTCTTTCTCTTCATACCTATCGTTTCTTCCTTCTTCACATTTCTCGGAAAACCTCCATGACAGAGTTAAGCATTCACCTCTCTAATAAGATGCATTCACTACATAAAGACTGAGAGAGCATCCAAAGCTTTCAATGTGAATATGTAGCTTCATCTGCCTCCCACTTCCTGCTTCCCTTCCTCCTACCACCTCAATCCCTCCCTCATAAACCACTGATGGAGCCTCAATTCTTCTATCTTACATATTGTTACAATAGTATACCACTATGATTATGGATGCAATCCCTAGGTCAAGGTCTCTATTGCAAGACATCGTTTTAGCCTTGTGATATTGGATTCCTTTCCATCTACTCTTTTTTACTCTGGAGCGGAATATGTACGCTTCGGCTATTCTGCCGATATCGAGACGGTCATGGTCAATGTCCTCTCCGAATCCCACGGGAAAGCCCAAGCAGCAATGGGACTTTTGCCGCGTGGGGCCCCTCCTGCGTCGGCTCCCACGCCCCCGGCCCGCACCCCGACCCCCCTTCGTCTCTGCGTCTGGCTCGCCCATGGCTGCGCCTGTTCCTGTGGGGCTTTGGGGCCGTACGGTCCAGTTCTTCGCTGGGTGAGTAGGGTGTGCGTTCTCCTGGCTATACCAGTATTGGGCTAACTTCGTCATATAGGCTGTGATTTGCTCCCTCCTCGGGGTTGAGCCGTTCGTTTGTTTTCTGTTTTGACGGCTGCCATTAGCAAAGCAGTCGAGACCCTCCTAGCAAGCCCGAGCGTCGACCTGGTGCTGACGAATGGGCCGACTGTCGATTGAAGTTCAGCTACTTATGCTGCAAATCGCAGAAGATATCGGTGGAGGAGATTATAACTGGTGCTATGGCCTCCCGCAACTGCTCTCCAGTGCCAAGTACTCCGCCGATCGAAGCAGCCGAACAAATGGCGCGTACACTGATTGGCAACTACCCATCGGAAGAACAAAGGCTCTCTCTGAGGTCTCGTTGATTTTGAAGATGTCTCCAGACATGTTCGCGGACCTTCGGTCACATCTACAACGCATGACGGAGGAACCCCGGAGTGAATGGGAACCAGGAGAGAAAAATTGTGCTGTTATCCTTTTTAAGCAAGTGTGCCAGCACATTGCTAGACGCAATGAGATCCTCATTTCAACGAATAACAGCCTGGCGGCAAACGTCTGCTCCCAGCATTTTGGATCAGACGCGAAAGCGGGGCTTCTCATCTCGGATGAAGACCCTAAGGAGCGTAACTGTGAACAAGAATTTCCATCTAATAATGCCCTTCATGCTCATGCTGCAGATTGCAATGATGTCGGCGGTTTTCATGCAGATATCGCGGACTTACCAATCCTGAAAGCAAAACCAATGGAAGTTCCCGCACATGATGGCATGGGATTTCGATCCTGGAAATACGCTACAATTAAGGCATACATTCACATTCAATTGTTGGATCCCTGTTACAAAGTGCAAATTCTCCGCAAAGATCGGTGCCATTGTGCTTGCTAGAGACGCATGGCAACTTCAGCCGACTGTTCTCTCTGCCAAAGAGCAACCCGGGATGGAATGAGTTCAGCCACCAAATGGAGGCCTCCCTTGTCGTACGGCTGACTCATGCAAAGCATCCCGTCATCAAACACAGGGAGCAGCGCCGCTTCAGACCAACGTTTGCGCAGTTCTTGAACAGGCGGATATACAAGGGCGGAATGTGCTCTCACCCTGTGACCAACTCCCTCAGGGCTAATCTTGATTGGGGCAAGATGATACGGGATGTCTTTCAACCTGGTCAAGCCGCCTTTGATAGTGGTCATTTTGTGCTCCGTCTGAAGAAATCTGCGTGCATGGTTGAGCCGTCAAGCTATCAAGGTACAATGCTGCTCATATCGAAGGTGGCTTGGCCATGATGCTGGCCAAGCATCTATATGGAGGTTTCAAACATGAAGAGATCAAGGTTATAACGCCTTATTCTGCTCAACGCAACCTTTACAGAAGGGCGCTTTGCGAGATGAGAAAGATGAGATCTCAGATACCTGAGGCGAGTCAGCCTTCAGTTGAAACGATAGATTCCATGCAGGGAAGAGAAGCGAAGGCTATCATATGTGATTTCACATATCTCATGCGAGCAAACCCGTTGCAACGCGGCTCATTCAAGGATGACCGAAGTACTGGTCAGCCTTATGCTCATGCGGATTGCATGCAGTCCTGGGAGACCCCAGGGAGCCCTTCAATAAGTATGGTGAAATCGTCAAGTCAAGCGACCTCTAGCCGGTCAAATATCTGCGGTGGGCTGCTGGAAAGGCAATTGTCATGAGAGTCGATGAGGTTCCTGGTAAGCTACTCTACTTGTAAACTGCTTGTGTTGCTCTGCGGATTACTAACTTCTACTTTTTAGACTCCGCTAAGCTTGCTTTCTAGAATCACGTCGGACACGATACTACGTTTGCTACAGTACAGCAGGACACTGGGGCACATCGGCAGACGATGTAACTTGGGATTGGATGCGAAGACAAAGGTACTGAGGGAGAGGACAATGGCCGGAACTGGTAGATTGTTCAGTTTGTTATTGACTTCAAGATCCCAGCGATTGGACTACTATGCAGCTCATGGGATTTTGCGGTCCATTTTATTACTGTTATGCTTTTATGTCTCAATTCTCATTCGACGAGGTTTCTGGTAAGCTACTCTACTTCCTAAACAGCTTGTGTTGGCTCAGTACCGCTAACTTTCTATTCCTTTTAGACCTTGTTAAGCTTGCCTTCTAGAATCAAGTCAAATGCGATACTACGTTCGCTCCAGTACAACAGGACGCCGGTCCAACTTGGACCGCAGCGCTGGAGGAGATGAATAAAAGTCAGGTACGAAAGGCGCTTGGGGCACTTCGGCACATAATGCAACTGGGGATACGAGGATGAGAGTAGGAATGGTAGATTTCAGTTTGTTTTTGACTTCAAGATGCAGCTTTAAACTACTATTGCAGCTTATGGGATTTGCGGTCCACTAAATTACTGTTATGCTTTTATGTCTCAATTCTCACCAGCTAGTTATCAACCCACTGAACACTCTGGCCAAACTCTCATCCCCAGATCTTTTAACCTTCGCACATTGCTATTATCTATCGAGAGATTGTGATCCTATACTTCGAGGACTTGACTTCTTCTCGGGGAACCAAACATGCAATATCAGGTACGGCCAACGGGACATGTTCCAACAGAAAGCCAGGCAACAGAGATCTATGAGAGTTAATTTCATGTATGAAACATCCGCGTCAGTCGAAGACCAAGTGCAACCCAGCTAGCGCAATCACTGCTACTTCAGTTCTGGGTGTACTGTGTTTAAACCTCAAAACCGGGACGGGACAGCTACTCCAACGGAGGCGTCAACAGCCCTCCTCCTTCCATCATCTTCACCTCATTATCATCAACACCATCAGGAGGAGTTCTCACATCCTCCCCAACAAAGAACCAAACCACCATCTCCGCCGCAACCTCTGCATCATCCTTCCCATCACCCGCCTCGATTACCCTCAGATACCTTTCTACTATTTCCCCATCCCACCCCCACCTCCTCCCAAACTCGAGGCATGTCTCCCTGTTCACAAAAACATCAAACTCAAAGTGCCCCTGAAAGGTCAACACCCGTCCGGGACAATACAGTCCCTGGATAGGACACCGCGGCGTTGACCCAAGATTCACCCAGTCATCCGGCAGCCCTGCCTCACATACAACCCAATCCCCATGGATAAACTGTAGCCTCATCTCCTTCTTCCTCTCTGCCACTGGTGCTGACGTCAGGGACGATAGTGAAGAAAACCCCAGCTTCGCCACAAACTCCTCCTTTAGCGCAATAGCATGCACACCAATCTCATAACCCCCCGGGCAAGCGTCAACCACACACCCCGGCACGAGCGTCTGCGCGAGCATCTGATGCCCGAAACACGAGCCGAAGAGTTTGATGTGCGGGTAATTCACATATACCTCAGCTAGAAAAGTCTGCAGAGAGGAAATCCAGGGATGCATGTCTGCGCGGTAGACTGAGGTGGAGGAGCCGGTTAGGAGGATGCCGTCTATACTTTCCTTCCCTCCAGCGCCTGGTGGAGAGCGCTGGAGGAGATGTGCCGGGGGGAAGATCCCCCCGATGACATCGTAGGACGAGGTACTTATTGTTATTTCTTTACCCGGGGGCAAGGATTGCGACTGGGAGAGACGTGCTGCGGCGGCAGCGAGGAGATGGGTGAATTGCGAGCTGTAGAGACCTCGTGTGGCGTAGACGGTCGGGACGGGGACGTCGAGGTCGAGGATGGCGATGTGGAGGTGCATTCTGTTTTCTCTGCTTCTTTTCCTTGAGGTTGGGTATTTTGTAGAGGTTGGTTGGGATGAGAGGAATGCTCGTGATGTGGTTGTAGTTCTCGGATCCAGTTACCGGATTAGGAGGGGTTTTCCTGTTGTTGTTTGGAACCTTAGTTGGTCATGGGATTGGTATAGAGAGATGTTTTGATTGACAGATATGATTATATTAGTGAATATATAGTAGGTTATTGTAGCTCGTTTCTAGAACTATATAGCTAGGGGAAGTTTATATACAGACAGTAGAGTAGTGAAACACTCTATGCTATCATCTTGGAAGTATACAACGACTGCTAACTTAGAAAGGAAGTAGTTTATTACAACAAGTATGAGAACTGTAGAGCTAGTGCTTCTAGCTTCACACTTTCAACTTATAGACAAACAGAGAAAAGATTAATAGAAGTGATTACTATTGAAGAACTTCACATGTTGATCGCAGTAGATCTTCATATCCGCTATTTGATGCGTCACATCCCCATCTGATTGCGCCATCATCTGCATCACCACTCCCAATGCTTTATTATCTCCAGCCGGCGCCACGAGCCTATAGAAAGAAAGATACCCTGGCACGCCATCATCTCCGCTATTGACCAATCATTCATACTTGCAGTGTAGACAATAATATATATATACCCCTCACGACCGCAAGATGACATACAAAATAGACAAGTACAACGCAAGTATACCACAATTGAGAGGATATGGCCATCACACAACTCGCACCTCCCCCCTCCCTCTTCCCCGACGGCCTAAAGACAACAGGCCAACACCCCCCTCTCTACGAACACCTCCAGCCCTTTGAGAGCTTCCCCAAGGAAATCACAGGCCCTACGGTCTGGACAGCAGACGAGTACCGCAATCGGCCCGAGAAATGGACGCATCGGTTTACCCCAGAGGAATTGGACGAGCTGAGTCGCGCAGGGGATGAGTTTATCAATAGCAAGATTCCCCTAACGGGGATTTCAAAGGTACCCTCCCCTAACACCCTTCCACTGTTCAACGGTTCAACGTGATGATGCTGAACTAAGTAGAAAAACTTCCCCCTCCCAACCCTAAGCACCCACCTGCTCGCCCTCCGGGATGACCTCCTCAACGGCCGAGGCTTCATCCTCTTCAAGGGCCTCCCCGTCCAGACATGGGGAAACCACAAATCCGCCGTCGTGTACATGGGCCTCGGGACGTACCTGGGCTACTTCGTCAGCCAGAACAGCCGCGGCCACGTCCTCGGCCACGTCAAGGACCTAGGCGAGGATCCCGCGCAGATCGACAAGGTGCGCATCTATCGCACTAACGCGAGGTACCTCCCCCGCCGTGCCCCATAGTCCTAGATAAGCGCCGGCTGACGAGTACTAGACAATTCTTCCACGCCGACGACGCGGATATCGTCGGTCTGCTATGCATCGCGCGCGCGCTTGAAGGCGGCGAGTCGGACATCGTCTCCTCGCATGCGGTGTATAACATCCTTGCGCGGGAGAGGCCTGACGTGCTCAAGACGCTAACGCAGCCGATCTGGTATTTTGATCGCAAGGGCGAGACCTCCAAGGGTCAGGAGGAGTATATCCAAACGAGTGTGGTGTATCTCGAGCGCGGCGAGAACCCGCGCGTGTATACCAAGTATGTCCCCTTTCTGCCTGCTCTGCATGACTACGGTTTATTGATGGTTGCTGTGACAGGTGGGATCCGTACTATGTCCGCTCGCTCACCCGCTTCTCCGACGCGGGAATCATCCCCCCGCTGTCTGCGGCGCAGCTGGAAGCGCTGCAGGTGCTGGAGGACACGTGTCTGCAGAACGCGCTGCATATGGTTCTGGAGGTCGGCGATATCCAGTTCCTGGCTAACTCGCATGTGCTGCATGCGCGGACGGCGTACAAGGACCATGCGCCGCCGGCGCCGAGGCGGCATCTGATGCGGTTGTGGTTGGCGACGCCGGAGGATGAGGGCGGTTGGAGGTTGCCGTTCTGGGATAGTAATGAGAAGAAGCGAGGGGGGATTCAGGTGGATGACCAGCCTCCCGTGGCGCCGTTGGATGCGGAGTAGCTTCTAGTCTGTAGTCTGTATGATACTCTCAATGTATGTGATTGATCATTATCATTAGTCGTACAATGGATGCAACTACTGCACTATTTTGTAGTTCCCTCCACTGATAATCTCCAACTTGCCCTTGGC